AGACAGAGAGACAGAAAGTGAGAAATCACCCCCCAGGGGGGATGGCCACGCCACAATCCCTTCTCCTCTATTCTCCTCTCGGGATCTTGGGCACACACGCACACGCGCCGGCAAGAGTTTGAGCCACCGGGTCTGGGACGCAAACCGCGGTTGACTACGTGGGAGTCCAGTGACATAGCCATTACGCTAACTGCTGGTCCCAGAATTGTCCATTTTAAATAGAGTGATCAGGAAAATCTTCCTGGGAAGGTGAAATTGATCCAAGACCTGAAGGTGAGGAGGGAGTGAGGCGCAAGGATTACACAAGGGAAGAGCTGTCAAGGCAGAGGGAACAGCGAGCACAGAAGCCCTGACACAGAGGGTGTCTCGTGTGTGTGAGGAAGAGCAAGGCGCCTAGTGGGTGAGAGTGATGCAGAACGGAGGTGCCTGGAGACGAGGGTGAGGTCCAGACATAAGAGCCCTGTAGGCACCAAGGTGACTCTGGCCTGGCCTTCAGCTAAGAGATGTGAGCAGAGAAGTGGGGCGGGCCGACTTTCATTGTAAAAGTCTATCTTTATTTACATATGTATTCTAGAGAGAGAGAGAGAGAGAGAGAGCGAGAGCGAGAGAAGCACCCCTAATACGGTCTCCCCCTGTGACCCACCCCGGTCAGCCTGGATCATGGCCTGTGTATGCACGAGCCCGATGTGCTCAAAAGTCCCAGACCCAAACCCTGGACCTTTCCCTGGTGGGTCCAGGGCATTACCACTGACAGCGGGGGAGGGAGGGAGCATGGCTTCATTCTGAATATATTTAGGAGGTAGAATGGACTTCGCTGATGTGGGACGTGGCCGAAGAGGCAAGGGTCATTCCAGAGTTTGGGACCTGCATAGCCACGGGAAGGGGCTCCTGTGTCCTGAGGTGGAGTGGGCCGGGCAGCGAAGATCAAGAACGGGTCTACACTCCTGGGAGAGGCTGACGGTGAGACTGCGCAGTGCTGTGGAGTGGGGGCGGTGGCCTGTGCTGGACTTCATGTGGCTCTTCGGTGAAACGGGGCGTATTTTCTCGGCTAAGTCCAGGTGATCGGCTCTGCTGCACACAGTGTGACTCACAGATAGCTGAGGGGCCCACACCCTCTGTCCATGATCACGAGGCTCGCTAGAGCTGCCTTCGCTCTCATGCCCACTCAGGTGCTGCTCATTCCACCCAGCCGTGTTTACTGACCCCCATGGCGGAGGTGGGGCAGCTCCAGGTTGCCAGGGTGAATGCCAGCCTGTCTTGAAGGCTCCTGCTGCCTGTGAGGACTGGCCATGACTGAGGCCCGTACCTGCTGCCACAGGCTCAGAGGGAGAGGCAGGTGCAGATGCTTCCTGGGGAGGCTTTGGGCTAGGTCTCCCAGGCTGGCAGGAAGAGAAGTGTGCCCCTTTTCTAAGGGTGGCCTCAGAAGGGCCAGTGCATTGAGGATACGAGTGTTGTGGGGTGAACAGAATTCTGGAACCGGGCTGGTGAGGCAGTCCAGGGCTGGCAGGTCACTCTGGAGTCCGTGCCTTACCCTCAGGGAGCCACCCACTCTCGCCCCGTCCCTGCCACCCAGGGCCGAGTTCTGCAAGCCGCTCCCTTGCCAACAACAAGCATTCAGGGCCGTCTCAGGCTCTTAGGACGAGGCCCTCACCAGTCTGGCCCCTCTGCAGCTCTGCTGTGGGCCCGTCAGCCCCGCTGGTCTTTGAGCTCCTCGGGTCGTCTGTGTTCCTGTACCCCGTTTGGACGTGTCCCCAATCTGAGCAGCGCACCAATATGTTTGCAGTCCTTACCTTCCAGTGAACTGTGCAAACACCTGCACAGCTTGCGGGCCTGAAGCCCAGGAGCCCAGGAGCCTCCTCACTCTGAAGGAGCTGAAACTTCCTTTCCTTCTGCCAGGGCTGCTTAGCTTCTTCAAGTCCTCAGCTCACAAGGAGGGCTGGTCATGCCTCCTCCTAACGTGACCCAAGCTCCTAACCCTAGGTTTGTTCCATATTTATTTACTTTATCCAGGAGGTGGGGGGAGGGAGATAGAAAGGGACCACCCCCAACAGGGTCTTGACACTGATTGTCCCCAGCCTCTCAGCGACAGCCGGCCTGGGCTGCGCGTGGGGGCCTGATATGCACGGGGAAGTATCTCGATGTGAACCTGGAGCCTCCCCGTGGGGGTCAGCCTTGCAGAGTGCTGCTTTCACTGCCGTGCCACCTGGTGATACCCCTCACGCCTCGCTCTTGCTCGGTCACCCATCATTCACTGAACCTCAGTTTGAATCCCCTCTTCCCCAGCCCCGTCTGGATAAGTCCCCCTGGTGCGGAGTCATGATGCCTCTGTCACTCTTGTGCTCGTCGGTGTAAAGTGGTGTGTCCTGGGCAGACAGCAGGGCAGCGACATGACGCTCTGCCAGGCCGACATGACAGGGCCCAAGTTTGCATCCAGGGGCCTCCCTGAGTGTTCCAGGCGTGGCCGTGCCCATGGTCCGCGTCTGCCTGGGATTAGGGTGGATCATGGATTCAGAACCCTGTGGGGTATCTGTCTCTCCCTTCCTCTTTCTCTCTCTACCTCGTTCATGGAAGAAGTAAATAAATGGATTTAATTTTCTGTCTAGTAAAATGGTATGTGTGTGAATGCCCGCCGTGCCCCCGCCCCCGCCCCCGCAGACAGTGAGTGCTATGCGGGCAGCCTCCATCCCCACCCCCGTCATCTGATCCCAGCGCCTAGCTCGGCATGCGCGTAATTGGCTTGTGATAAATATTTGTTCAATACGGGAATAAGCGAAGTCCCCAGGCACTCGCAGTGTGCTGTGAGTGCAGGCGTGTAAACACGAGCATGACACGCGTGACGGGCTCCAGGAGAGGAGCTATATATAGCTACAGAGAGACAAGCGCAGCAGCAGTGGCCGCCTTGGGGCTGTCAGCGGAAAGGCTTCTTGGAGGAGGTGACACCAGACCGAGTCTTACAGGATGCTGGGGCATCAGCCAGGCAAGGCAGATGGATGACAGAAGAGGAAGGTGGACACCCCCAGGCTGGAGGGCTGTATGTGTAGCATCTGCATGGGAAGCTTGGTGTGGGGGTGGGGGCAGTGGAGATGGGGTGCCTGGGAGCTGTCTTTCTGTGCTGGAATCCCAGGTTAGCACCCATCTGTGCATGACCCTAGGTGAATGATTTCACCTCCCTGTGTCTGCTTCCTCCTCTAACAAGCAGGGTTAGAGCAGTACTGATCTCCAGGGCTGTTGTCAGACTTAAAGAAGAAAATATACACTCTCTGGCTGTATGCATGTATGTGAGCTCTTCACAAAGTTCATGGATGGGACCAGCACTTAGTGTAATGGCTATATCGCTGGACTCCCACATAGTCGACCGCGGTTTGAGTCCTGGACCTGGCGGCTTAAACTCACACCGGGTGCGTGTGCATGCGTGCCCAAGATCCCGAGAGGAGGATGGAGGAGAAGGGATTGCGGCATAGCCATCCCCCCTGGGGGGTGATTTCTCGCTTTCTGTCTCTCTGTCTCTGTCTTTCCGGCAAGGGCAGGTGCCCTATATCAAAAACCTCTCCAAAAAAAAAAGTTTGTGGAAGGGCCAGCAGGTGGCATGGTGGTTAAGGCAGCTGGATCCCACACGGCCAGCTGTTTGATTCAAGTCCCAGATCCAGCAGCTTGCAAAACACACCAGGCACATGTGTGTGCATGCCCGAAAGTCCGAGAGGAGGATGGAGAAGTGATTGTGGTGTGGTCACCCCTCTCTCCCAGGGGTTCTTTCTCATTTTCTCTCTCTCTGTTTTTCTCCTGCAAGCACACATGCCCAGCAGCAAAAAAAGAAAAAAAAAAAGTTGATGGAAATGTGTATTATGAAAAATGATGCATGGGTTTTAATTTTTTATGCTCCAAAGTATGCTCCAGGCATGTATTTTAACTGCATTCTCCATGAACTTTCTCAGGCCCTTGCG